TTACCGGCAGCGTCGGTCCGGATGAGAAAAACTGTGCCCTCGGTCTTGAAAACGTCCCTCGCCCTTCGGGCTCGGGCCGTTTTCAAGACCTCGGGCACAGTTTTTCTCATCCGGACCTCGCAGCCGGTAAATAACATATATATATTCATGTTCTGCATCACTTATTTCCTTTGAAAGCGATTGTTTTTACAGTCTGTGAACATGGATATATGAATATCTGCATGCCCCCCCCCCCAATTATCGACTTTCAGGCGTCCCTGGCGGTTCACAAATAGATTTCACCATGTTCACTTCAGTCCCCCAAGCTTACATGTTAGTGTGTTACCTTGTTCCCTTGACTTGAACTGAACTAACTCAGAATGCAAATAATAATTAAAGCGTATTGTTTTCGCTGTGCTAGTGGGAAGAGTCGAAAACGATTCGAAATCGCAAGTGTGGACGCGGATAATAACCAAATACGGAGTCGGATATGAAAACGGATTAGCCCGCCGTACACACTATTCCCTGCTGGCATCCTCAGTATATATCAACAATTGAAAATATATTTGCGATTATTGTATGCTTAGAAATCAAGAGTAGGGAGATGCATGAAATTGAAGGCATACTAACCTTTGTTGTTTAATATCATAACACAACCAATAATGAACAGAGACGTACATTTAAAATACATTATCTTTTTCGATATATAGTAGATATATTAGTAGTAACTGAACCACTTGAGAACTCGCGAAGTTGGTCTGAAACTGACGAGTTGCACCAGGATTTATAAGCGATGGACTGCATGGACAGCAATTTAAATATTACAGCACAATAATGTCGAAGGCGACTGGCATTTCCACGGAAAGATACCTGCTGCACGTATATGAGCCAATATCAATCCAATTAATTGTACTTTACCCAGCTGCAGAAACACAAGTCAGCAATACAAATACATTGTCACGCAGACTTTAATCTCATCTTACAGTCTCGTCGTTTCATTGAAATAATTTATTAGAGTGCTTGCTGTTAGTGGTTCCAACCAACCAGAACGCAATAATAATTTATTATGTGCCACTATATTCTAATTAATTATGTGTAATTAGAAAAAGCATGAAGCAACTTTGCGAATTCACTTCTGAGAATAGTTCGAAGCTATTAAATTCTGTTTCACCGAAAATTAAACATGTTGGAGAGACATTGACAGCAACTGAAGCCCTTTTCAGCATAAAGTGTAAAATAGACTCGAACGTCTTATAACCACATCTAGAAAGGAGCACAAATTCATGTGAGCGCTATGAAATGATCCAATTATCTTTCCCGCGGAATGGTCGTTAACCATTGTTCAATTATTGAAAGCCTTCATACAAAATTTTAATAACAAAAACTTGCATGCGCATGTATTTCACTTCAACTGCGGATCGTGCCGCCGTAGTTCCGATCCACGAAAACATGCAAAGAAATACGATAGGTTATGGAAGATATAGGCTTAAAACTTAAGCATGTTCAAGACTCCATTATCATGCAGTATATATACTGCATTGTACAGCTTGCGTTGCTGTACACCCACTCAGACCCATAAATAAATTAATGTACGTGCATGCAGTTAAATAGGTGGCTTTCAAACAATCACACGGGACTTTATCGTCGATTTCGGTTCCCAACTTGTTGTGAATATTCCCAATTATGTTTCTAAATTTGGAATATTGAACGAGGAACGTCGCCAATTGCCCCTAGACCCTTTCTTTACAGTTAACCCCTCTCCCCACCCCACCATCACCACCTGCACAATATATGGTAATTTGCTTCTAACGGCACTGTACGTTTTTGAAAAGTTATAATTATGTGTACTTTCATCAGATTTGTGTATTGAGTGGAATTTATAAATCCTCACGAAGGCATAAGATTTAGTGCATTAGTCTGAGTTTCTTTATATAAAAAACAGTTCCATGGACTGAGGATGAATATTTCCAAGATACAGATAGGCAACATTATACCGCTGAATAAATAAAGCCATCTAGAGCCATATAGGCGATACAGCTGAAAAAATGTTCAAAATATTTTGCAAAAGCGTCATTAAATTCGGTTGTAATTTACGTTTTATTTTTCTGGAAATTTCGAGCTGTTGTCACAGCTGCCCTTTACAGGACAAAGTGTTGATTCGTCTAAATCCTTATCGTTAACGTGTATAGAGCGTCCTATAGCTGAGGCTGGGAGAAGTGTCTAGATCATGCATTTCTTAGCAACTTTTTTCTCAAATCCCAGTTTCGATCGTAACTTCAAAAACTGTTTTCACCTAGTAGTAGGCTATGTTATGGCTTTTAAAAAACGCAAAAGAGATCATTCTCTGCAAACACTTTCATTTCTTGCGGCTCAGTTCCATCGTTCATAATTGTGTGACTATCTCCGCGTGGGCTAGTTTAATTGATGCCGTGAAACAAACCAAAGCGTTTGCCAGGTACAACGCGAGAGCTGATAAATTATACGCGCCGCGACTGGGCGTTTCACTTTTGGGATTATCGCGCAAAGAAAAGTCTTTTGTCATTAACAACGGCAGGTACAAAGTAAGCTTAAGTGACAAACCTGCACTGTACACTGTGTTCAAAACCTTCATATAAAAAGCATGAGAAGCGTTGCTTCCACCTCCATATTTACCACGAATTTTATTTCAATTTGTTGTAGCATGCACTCCCTGGCTTTTGGTGAGCAAACTAAAGCGCAAGAATGAATCCTCCTTGTTTAATCAGCAGATTCGTGAAGTGGAGGCCGCGGTTTGGTTT